AAAAAAAACATGACTTGTTCATACAGATCCCTCTAAAATTCCTTGGGACAAGTGCATCACATATTCGTCAACTTAGCAGCAGAAGTAGTGAGCACAGGAAGAGGGGGAGGGAGATGGAGGAGCTACCTGCCGCGGTCGCAATGGAAGCAGAGGAGCAGACCCCTCCCGCCCCTCCCCCACGAGCAGGACAGGGCTGCCGGCTGGGCACGCCCCTACTCCTCCGCCTCCTTGATCAGGAGACCACCTTCCCCTACTGCTGCTTGGCGTGCCGCATCACTAGTCACCTCCTCATGCAAGAAGCACACAATAAATAGACAGACGGTCAGTGAGGTACATTTTCACAGTAACAGAAGCTTAAAATTAACAGAAATACACACATCAAATGAAGTCACTAAGATACTTAAGTCCACCACATGGTGTAGAATTATGTGGTATATAATTGCAACACATGAACCAAAATTGGAATAACATCATCACCAAGAGTTTCTGATGATAAGCATAGCTCCCTACAAAAAAAGAACTACCTACTCGCAAAGTATAAAACCTGAATCATATAGTATAAATGAATCAAGAAAACAAGAACTGACAATGAGAACTGCATACTAATGCACCAGATGATCAACATCAAGCGTAGTATATTCACATAAGTTTGCTTATTCAGTAAATTATTGTATACAAATAGCTTCAGTTAAACTTATAGAAAGATTAAGCACTTTCAACTGCTAGATCTAGACCCATAGTCTGCATGTTGCAATGTGACATTCCTAGAAGCATACAGTTACAGAACAGAAGCAATTTTAGTTATCCAGGTACCCACGACACAACCCCACTACATCTGAAACGTCTGCTGCTAATCAGTAATCCAAGACAAGAATTAACGCAATAGACATACAGGTATGGTAAGGTCACAGAAACAGGGGCAAAGCTAGTGATTTTAGTCTAATTTGACCCATGAGAACAAATTGTTCTAACCAACATATAAATCTAACCTAATACACCACAGAATTGTAGATTCTAAGACCGTGCCAACGCTAATCGGATCTGCCAGTGCAACGGGATCTCAAGGAAGCCATTTCTACAGAGCCGCGCCCCGAATCGAAAAATGCGAGATGGGAGCGCAATCTCACCTCTGACCTTGTTGCATAAGGGGCACGCCTGGTACTGGTAGAGCACGAAGTTCCGGGGCAGCAGATCATGGGCAGCCGCTCCTTGGCCTGCACCTCGGCCACCGCCACAGTGGCGAATGTGCACCGCAGACCCTCATGACCTCCCACGCCTTCATCCCGTCCGCCACCGCCGCTACTGGCGTCACCTCCCGAGAAGGAACAGAAACAGAGCCCAGTTTAGCAGCAGGAAAATCGACTGGCTAAGCTTGGAGAAGGAACTTGGTTCACTTGCGGAGGAGCGCGGTGACGACCTGGCTGGTCGTGCCCGGCGATGACCTCCTCCATCCAAATCCGCCTGCGTAGGGAGCTAGCGGACGAGTGGTGCGGCGATGGGAGGGGAAGCCGAGACCCCTCGCTTCCCCACCGCGGCCTCCATCCGGTGGGAGACAGAGGGAGACGAAGGCGGGGTGGCGGGGTGCCTCGATCTGGATCGAGGAGAGTGAGGCCGCGCGCTGGATCTTGTCGGAGGGGAGGGAGGGAGGGAGGAGAGCAAGGGGAGGGGTGGGTGGCGGCGAGGGGAGGGGAGGTGGGAGGGATCGGGGGGCGCTAGGGTTCGCGGGGGAGGAGTGCAGGCTGTGGCCTGTGGGTTGTTGGTCTAGGTGGTGTGAGAAACGTGAGAAGGGAGCACTGCCATTGGATCCGGGTGGATCGGATGGTGCTCGATCCAGGATCCGCGTGACATGCCTCTGAACCAATCAAAACAGAGTACATGTGCGCGGCGTCCATGACCATTTAAGTAGGTTGTAACCAGCTGAAAACAAAGTGCACATCTCTTTGGCTAAGAGAATCGACTCTTTTTGTGCCGTCTTTCGGCGGTTCCCCTCCGCTGGTGACTTCTTGGTCGTCGGCGGTGAGGAGGGTCGTCGGATCCCGCACATGTGGATCATTTTTGCTTTAGGTTTTAGGGTCCTAGTAGCTTAGGTTTTTGGATCATTCAATATCTCGACTTCAGGGGTGGAGGCGGCAATACTGAATAAAGAAGCTCTGGATTTTTATCCGGCAAGGCCGCCAACAAGGACCTCGGCACGCAGAAGAGCAAGGCATCAAGGTGGTGGTCGCGAGCGAGGAGTTCATCGTCGTCACCTTCGCGGTGAACAAAGACACGTAGTCATACCCGCCGTTTTGACAACATTTTGAAAGAAATTCAAAAAACAAAAAAACTTTCGCATTGTGGCATTATATCTGACCTAGTTTACAGGAAAATTAATAAACTTTGATTACAGTAAACGTCTTACAAGTGTTCTCGGAACCGAGTTATCATGTATGAAGATCAATGGCTTTTAAGCCAAATGATCAATCTTATGGTCACAATCATGGCATAGTTTATTCAAATGATCTCATATTATGCAAAAGGGTGTATAGTGGAATGAAAAACAATGTTGCCTAAGGAAGTTTTCATTTCCTTTGGACAAAAAAATCATTTTCCATTTTTCGAGTGCCCAAAATGAGGTTTTTTTTGTGAAAAACTTACCAAATAATTGTTGCAAAATTGTACCAAATTATTTTTCTAAAATACTAGGACATATTTAATGCACAATTGACCAAATGGTTGGGTGTCAAAAGTTATGATCCACCTCTCGTGAAAAAGACAAATTTCTGCCGATTCAGTTGGAAGCGGGTCAAATTTGAACTGTACCTGCCTCATAGTTTGCTATTTATTTTTCCTAAAAATCATTTTTAGGTACAAAAGTATCTATTTAATCAGAGAAACACCTAAAGTTTTCCAAGATTCAACCACTAGCTAGGAATGGTCAAGCCCGTCGTTTTGACCGCATTTTGAAACAGGCATAAAAAATTCAAAAAAACTCAAAAAATTGCAAAACCTTCGCATTGTGTCATTATATGTGGCCAAGTTACCAGGAAAAATAAAAAACTTGAAATACGGCAATTCTTTTAAAAAAGTGTTCACAGAAACGAGCTATCATGTGTGGAGATCAGTGCCTTTCAAGCCAGATGATCAATCTTATGGCCACATTCATGGCATAGTTTGTTCAAATGATCTCATATTGTGCACAAGGGTGCATATTGGAA